AGATTAACGCACATTTTAGTACAATTTGATAGCTGCATATAACTCAAAATGTTATTGTTTTTCAGAAAATACTTGTACTCTACAATTTGTTTCTGCATGCTGTATTAAATTAAAGAAATCTGTCCTAAATTTAAAAATAATTTGGCACTGATTTTATCCATTAGGGGTTAGATTTACGAAACGATATATTATATTGGGTATTGCTAAATTAAAATTGGACTGTATCATCAATTACAAATCGAACATGTTTATTAACTTTCATATTCACTTTGCTTCACATTCATGTTTCCAGCAGAAATATAGGACATTCCATCACTAACATAGTAGGTATTTTTGGTACTATTCTGTTACTAGGGGGGGGACTGGGTTCAGAAATGTAAGTATGTAGGCATGTAGTATGTGTTCATGTATGAATGTACATATGTAAGTACACGCATATATGCACACACATGCAAACACAGGTTCGTACATTTCTGAATCCAGTCCCAATAACAGAACAGTACCTTATTTTTTTCTGGAAAAAGTATATTTCAGTGTCCCCCTTGGAAAAAATTGGCGATTTTTTTGGTGCCATTTCTGTTTATGTGCAATGCCCTCCCAAGTAAAATGGAATCCAAAACATAATGCAATAAAGCATAAAAAAAAATTATAATCTCAATAAACTGCATTTTAAATCAAAATAAAAACAGGAAATAACATAAAAATGGAAATGCATGTTATCTAATCTATGCAGTATGAAAAGGAAATATAGACTTAGAAACTGACCTACTTAAGAAATTTCTGTGTCTTCAGTGTGTGGCTTACAGAATTCCTTAACAGCATCCAAAAACTGCTTAAAATTATCTGAACTAGAATCTGTATACTGTTATCTGAACCGAAATTCACACAAGTAAGAATAAAAAATATCATCCGTTGTGCTGCAGTGTTGGTGGCATTTCTTTCAAAAATCCCTTTTTATTACACCTCACTTACCTTCGATAGTGTTAATATGAGCTCCAGTTTCCAGATCCTTAAATGTCACTGCGTGATTTACTGAGCGGTAAATGAACCCATTTAAACCTTCCTTTACTCACCAGTCAATCAATGCTTTCTTTCCGATTTGTTCCAAATTGCACAGAAACTTCAGGTTAATCTTACCACTAGCAGTCATTTTATGGTGTAAAGCACAAAATAAATAACATTCTTCCTAACCAATATCCAACAATATCCAAGTTCTGAGAAATATTTTCCCAGCAATCAAAATCAGCGTGATCACGCATTACAACTAATCATGTCATAACAGGCTCCAACTAATCACGTCATGATATGGTTTCCAAAACATACACTGTAAAATATTCAGGTTACCATAAATGAAACAACTTGGCGATTATCCAAGGGATACCCCCAAATATAGACTACCTTTTTTTTCCTTGTGTAAGAATTAAAACTGATCATTTATTTTACTTTGGTACAACTCTATACGCCCTAATTTCACCAAATGTGACGATATGTGTTCTGCGCTGGTTTTTTGGTGCGATTGCGTGTTCTATAGCAACCCTGTTGACGTCGAAAAATCTTTCGCTGGAGCTCATTGGTTCGCCTCTGTGTCTGAGAAGATGGGGGGAAAGATAAAATGGATGGAAGTTGTTGAATTGAAAGTTCGGCAAAAGGAAATATCATTGTGGCCATCCTGTTGAGGGGTAGTAGGGGTATTTGGAAGTGTGGAAAAGAGGGTCTGGGAGATTATTTTTAATGGCTGTGCATGATACAAGTAGGGATTTATGATTTCATTTATTTGTGAACCATAGTATAAATTTTCTGGATAGTGTGTCTGGCTGTCATGTAAATACGATAGTGATTACGTGGTGGCATGTTAAAGGCAGTATGAAATTTATATTTCTGCTATTCGAAAACGCATTAATTCATGGTAAGTGCATTTTATTTTATTCCTTGTTCTTATTTTGTAGAATGTTATGTTCATTGGTTCTTTAGTATGAATTTCTGTCGTTATTGTTGTTTTTTTTAATTGTTTGAAATTTATTTTAGTTTATTTTGTTGTTTAGTGTCTAGACTGTACAATTCGTAGATGTTTTTTAAAGTTGAAACAGAACGCTGTGTACATGGTATCATTTGAAATTTATTGTTGTTATGTTATTTTATTAGAGCGAGGAGTGCGTAGATCGTAGATTCCTTCCTTGCCTAAATTGTACAATTCGTAGAATTTTTTTTAAGTTTAAAACAGGATGCTGTAACATGGTATTCTTTGAAATTTATTGTTGTTATGTTAATTTATTAAAGCGAGGTGTGCGTAGTTTGTAGATTTGTTCGTTGCCTACATTGCAATTCGCAGATGTTTTTTTAAGTTAAAACATGTCGCTGTGTACATGGATTCTTGTCAAATATTTTTGGTTAGAAACTTTACGTTTTTGCTATCTAAATTTTTTGTTTTTGTTTCAGATTTTTAGCTAAATTGTGTGTTCAAAACGTAATTTTTTCATGTGCGAAAACCGCGTTTTTGGAGACATTTTAGGCTAAAAGTTCAAAATGTAGACAAAAAATTTAGATAGTAATATGGCAGCGTGAAGTTTCTCGCCAAATATTTTTGGCGAGAAATTTGGCGACTTCAGGGCGCATATCAGAGTAGTTCCTTTACTTTTATTATGTTTCAACACTTCTTATACCCTTTAATAACTTCTATCATAAATGTAAGCAATAATTCCTGCCTCGTTTTGCTAAATATACTTATCTACATAGAATGTCAGGTTATTTTATGTGCAATATGAGAAGTCTCTACATTAACTCATTTTTTTTTCAAATGCTCAGTCCCTACCCAATTTTTTATTCATTGATTTGGCTGCATACTTAACCTAAAAAAAAGTTAAAATACTTGGGCTACCAGTTTTCTGAACAATTTAAAGAAATTTCTTTTTCAGGAATAAAATTTTGTTGCACAGTTTAAGCATTTTTAAGGTATGTCTAACCTTAAAAGAAATTTGAGAATCTTATTACTAAACTAAAGTGAATTGTCAAAATTTATATAAATATTTTATTATGTAGGCATTTATATATTTATTATACAGGCATTCTGATATTAATAACAAATGCAGGAAAATAATTTTTAATAAATTATTACAATATTGTTTATTCTCCTGCTTTTTTGATCAAACTGATTATCAATATCCAAACTTTGTGCAATGTTTTCTAGAACTACCACTCATCATTTACTTAAGAAACTCTAGTTTGTTTGACTAATTTGTTAGACCAGCTGATGAAAACCTACAAAAATTTATTTATTTTCATGCAAAAAAATTATTAGATAACACTAACTCCTAGTAATTTATATTATATAATCTACACAAAACAGTAAATTTAAGAACTGGTTAAAATTGGGATGAGTGATCAAATTTATAATTTTAACTGAAAGAGCAAGTTGCCTTCATAAGGTAATATTAAGGGAACTGTTATATTTATTTATCTTACAGAACATGAAAAAATCAAAATTCTTGCACAGCTTTATCTTCTTGAAACAAATCAAGTTTAGGATGATACAAGGATGTCTATTAATTTTATACCCATACCCACAGATAGGCTCTTAATAAAAAGTTATCACTAATTATAATTGTTTTCAATTTTGTCAAACAAGCTTATTAAAGAATTTTTTTTTTTTTTTTACTTTTCTTTTAATGTAAATTTATAGCAGAAAATGAAGGATAAATGCAATACTTAAAATATCAGCAAAAATTGAGTTCTTGTCTTTGCATTAAATTATTCATACAAATAACCTGATGAATTAGTTTTGAATAGCTTTGTTAGATTCGCTTTTATTTTCAAAACTATTTTGATTTGTATACAGGCTTTTTAAAATACATTTTGTCACCATTTCTATTGCTAAATAACAGCACAGAGTATCGTGCACAAAAAACATTATACAAGGTCTTAGTTTGTGAAATGATATAAATGGATAAATTAATTTATGAATAAAACTAATGGGGAAACTAATTTCATAAACTAAGATTATCTTTGTTGCACCAAGATTGGCCAAGATTTTTTTTATTACCAGACTGGAAAATTAGTATCAAAATAACAAAGAATGTTTGTTAAATTCAAATAAATAATGCCGATATATTACGTTACTACTAAGCAATGAGTTTTTTTTTTTTTTTTTGTTAAATATTATAAAGCATGCAGATCCAGAATTTTCACTGGAAAAAATACTAACACACATAAGCTTACAGCATGCAGAAACAAATTGTAGAGTACAAACACATAAGCTCAGTAAACAATTTCAAATATTAAAATAGGAAATGTCTACCAATTAAAAAGGAAAAACTTAATTCGAAAGGAATGGTGGCTATTAATAACTAGAAAAACATATTTTAATAAACACAAATAAATAAATCATCATATTTCTCCACAATTTTTCCATTTAAGAAATATCAAACATACTTACAAATTCAAAAACCTGATACCGCGTATTCATTATTTTTAAAATTTAGAGAATGATATCCAACTAATATAAATAAATTAATACTAGGCATATACTATTTCATTTCACGAAAGAATTTACTCGCAATTTAGTTTTTTTTCAATAAATGTTCCTTAAAATCATTGCGTTCTTATTTAAAACCAATCTAATGTAATCGGAATGATTTTAAAAATCAAATAAACCTCATTCTAATTATAGGAAAATACTGCTTCATCTGAATTTAAAACTAATTTATTACAGAGCAGCGTTTCACAAGCACAGTAAGGCAACAAGTTTTGTTTATGTATTAGATGTAGTCGAAGTTATTATTTTCAAAGATACTATTTTGCAATAACTCAAATTTCAATGTAATTCCATATCTTAAATGTTTCATTTGAAGTTTTAAAACTTCTCTCAGAAATAAAATAATTTTTTCAAATGAAAATAAAAATTAAATCTTACTCATGCATTAATTTCAAATAATATTTTACTGAAGTGCATATTATATATTTTTTTCATTAATTAAGTCAATAACTACAACTTTTATCACAATAATATTGATGAAGTCTCCAAGCGAAGTCGTATGTAGAGCATATCGTAAATATGGCAAAATATAGAGGTGATAAAGGAATTCTGAAAAGAGCCTTTGATTTGAGCGAATTGCCGAAAACTGTGGATTTGAACTCTCCACCTGTAAGTGGGCTTGATTATTTGTATAGAGTACGTTTAGAATCGAGAAAATGCCCAAAAATTGTAGTGTCAAATATTGACACCGCACAGTTCTTGCATCTTCAAAATGTAAAAGTTGATTTTTGCAATGGTTTTGTAGCTGCGAAACCAGGTTTCGCTCCTGATCCCAGATGGCAGAAAGAAGTACTTGAATTATTTATGCATTCTAAACAACGATTTTCAAAAAATCGAGTTATGCTGAAAACGAAATTCCCTCGACCAGATTTCCCAAAGTTGAGTAAACAAGAACAATGGTGCATTTTTTGTCTTGGGCCAAAAAAGCATGATGAATTGTATAATGTGTTATCAAAAACAGACTGCGAACCTTCTGCTAAAGGCAAAAAATTGCGTTTGAGTGAAAGCGGTAATGAACCGTTACTTAGTGTTGTTGCCCATTTAAATCAGCGATCTGTAATACGGTTATTATCATACCATATAGATTGGCTAGAAGATGGAAGTTTTACTCATGATCAAGGTGTTTGGATATATGCACTTCTTGTGTGTCTTGAAAAACCCCTAGAGCCAGATACTTGTGCTCTTCTACGTTCTTTATCAAGATGTTGTACCACTCACAGGGCTAAATTAAATAACCCTGAAGATACTGTTCTGAAATCTTTGAATTTAATTATTTCAATCATAGCAAATTATTTTGATCAAAAAGATATGAGTGATAAATTTACTACAGATTAATAGCTATCTTATTCTGGAGATGAATAATAATTATGCAAGTTCTTAATAACAGTAGACTGATTGGTTGATCTTTAGATTATGGTAATTTGGCGACCAACTCTGCTACAGCAACCCTCTTTTTTTTTTTTTTTTTTTTTCCGCCGCCATTTGGTCTTAACGAAGTAAAGACATGTTTCTTTTCATTTACTGAACACTTTTTCCAACAATCTACTAGCCAAATTACATTCATACTAGAAATTTTATCTAACAAAACTGCTTAATCATGACAAATATTCACTGCAAAATTGGGAAAAGTGCACAATCGTAAACTCCTTACGCGTTTTTCACAATAACACATAAACCATGTACACGTCGACTTATTTTTACTTTAAAAAAATCCCAGAATTGCACAAAAATGGCATTGCGCACACTCTTCACTATATCCACGTACACTGCTTTTTTCTCATAAATTAGAAAAATTTCACAAAAATGCATGAAAATACTCAACGTATACTACTCAAACATATTCCAAAATACTACAAACATATAACTCACAAAATCACGATCATTAAATTAAAATATAATTAAATTAAAAAAACACTACTTAAAATATAAATAAGCACATACATTAAATTAATAAAAATTAGATTACAATCCTAGTTACTTTAAACTAAATCATTGCTAATAACAATTTTCAAATAATACCATTTTAATTTATTTACTCCTTACATTTAGAACAATGCATAAAAATAATATCCTCAAATGATTAAAAATACTAACTTATCTAATCTTCTTCAGAATCTTCATTACGTCCCTGCAGTACTACTGCTAATTTCTAAATCCTAAATCCAGTAGTCAACTGGCAGTCTATTCACCCACGTAATAAGAAATTAATAAAATTTCACCCAAACTCAAACGACTACTTTCAGCAAACCACGTACCCTTCCTTACATTACCTTTTCACAAAATGTCCATTTTCACCATATTTCTTGTACCAGCCATTTTCAAACTTATGTGTAATATCCTTCTTTTCACACAATCTCAACTTATTATTATTATCAGATAAACGCATTAAAAATTTAGAATTCACTTTACATAGCGCCATGCAATCCGAAAATTAATCAACACTATTTCATGCAACACACAATGAAGCTTTTCCAAATTAACCTCCTTTTCCGATGAAACTGTAATTCGTCCATTAATGTCACGTTTCACACAACACAGAATATAGCTAAATACGAAATTTCCAGATTCCCCCCTTTTCCGATTAAACAATTGTAATTCGTCCATTAATGTCACATGACATATCTCATGATCTCTCATTTCCCTCGTACAAAATAATTCGTAATCGGAACTGAGTGCTTCTCACATTATTACCAAAGTCCTAGGTAGTAACCTTTATCGCCTCCAAAATGTCGCCAAACTACCAGTTACCATATTCCAAAGATCAGCCGACTGATTAAATAAATATTTATTTATATATTACTCTGCTAACCATTCATGAAAATTTAAGTGGTGCTGACCAATCGTTTCTGCAGAATTCTAAAGGAAGTGGTCATCTGTAATTGCGCTACTTTGTTGCTTGATGGAATAATATGTGAATACCAAAAAACAAAATGTTCACTATTATGTATTTTATGCGAGACCCAAAAAAAGATTTTTTTTTTTTAATTTATGCTAGTGTTATATAGCCATAATCCATGTTGTTGTATAACGTGAATCTTTTATAATAAAAGTGGTTTTTATCTTATTTTTATGTCTATAAAAGCAACATAGTGTTTACATCTGCAAAGAACCCATTGGATACAGTGAATTGTTTTGTTGACAAGCTCACCAATGGTAATATATTTAGTGATATGTGGTTAAGTTTTGAAATAAAACACGATGTAAAGTATATATAAGTAAAATTTAGCATTTTAAACATGATACTTTGTGCATAGCACAAAATTAAGCATATGCAAGTTAAATTTAGCTACTATCTAAACATACTAAGTATATGTAAATCAAATTTAGCTTGTTAAACATGATTATTATTACAAATGAAGATAAAATCCTAGTCTATGGTATACCCTTGGTGTGATTTTGAAAATTGTCGCCAATAAGAAAATACAGCATTTACTGCTCATCGTAATGTCGGCAAATCCCACGTGTACCATACACTAGAATTAAACCGAAATAAATTCAAGTATGAAATTAAACATACGCAAGCAAAAATTAGCTAGTTAAACCTGATGTTATCTTCTCCATATTACATGGAACAATGGTTGCCAGAGCCTACTCCGAAGAGCAATTTTGAGGAAAAGCATCCGGGGGGGGTTCCCTTTTCATCAATCCAAATGAGAGGAATTTCGGCTCGCTGCAAGTTTAGAATGCCGCACCGAACTCTATACATTTACAAACATCCATGTCTTCTCTGGGATTCGAACCCAAGCCCTTCAGTACAGTAGTAGGCTCCTCTAACCACTATACCCATCTGGACAATTCAACCTGATATGTAATGTGATTAAATTCAGGTTGGCAGGAAAGCTTAATGTTAAGTATATGTAAGTAAAAAGTAGCATTAAAATGTAAATTAAATGTTAGTATTATTTCATGTACATTTAGTTTTATTTTATACAGCTGAAGCAAACGCAAACTTCTAAATGTATGAAAATTGGGTATTTTCATTTGAAATTGTTTTGCACTTTCAGTATTTCTCAAGTTTTAACTGAAAAATAATGAATTGGGTAGAGTAGATTTTAAGGTACCCCTTCTATTATGGCGAAGTTGTTGTTTGATTTATTGCCAAATTGTTGAATGTTATGGAAACCCTATTGTGGCATAATGGGGTGCATGATTCTAGGAAATTTTGAATCATGAATCTTGTTTTGTAAGCGTTTTTGTGGTGTGTGTTGGTTAGATTCTTTAGACAGTAGAATGGCCGAATGTAGTAAGATTAATTTTAAGTTTCTGTACGATTTGGAGCGAAAGGGGAAAAGAGCTTTAATTGACTGGTGTGTAAATGAAGGTTTACTTAGTAGCCATTATAAGTGTCCTGTATGTAGAAAGGATATGCGTCTAGTCGAACATAAAAACCATTTAGATGGGTTTGTAGGAAGAAAGGTTCAGATGGTCACTATGTGAAGTATTCGATCAGAAAGAGTACCTGGTTTGAAAAAAGTCATTTGAGTATGATTGATATTTTGATTTTTACATGGCTCTGGCATACGAAGTGAACTCGAAAATCATGGTAAGTGAATATTTGCTTTTTGTAGTGCTTAAATGTATAACATATTTTTCCTTTTTTTATGTTATTTTATTGTTTGGTTTAAAATGTATTTTATTGAGATTATGTATTTTTTGTTTGCCTATATTGTAGAATTTGGTGCTTCTTTGACTTTTATAAATGAAAATATACAGTCAAAAGTCGTTAATTTGGACACCCATAATCCGGAAGGATCTATAATCCGGACCTCAAAGCTACAAACTTTCTGCGCATGCGTCGCGTTGACACATGCACGTAAGACTTTTATGGCTGCGAATATGCGTGTGCGCATGTGAGTAATACGTTTACGCTTAGGTGTTTAATGTATAACGGACGGTATAAGCTAAGCTAAAATTATCTAATTCAGTTAATGTTGCAGATTGCGTTGTTCCTGAACCTTTGAATTATATCCGGCTTATTATTTTTTGCAGACTGTTAAAGCAATTGGTGAATCTTTACATTATGGTAACTTGGTGATTTTGGGGGGGAAATTTGGCGACCAACCCTGCTACAGCAACCTACTAGTTTTGTTTTGGATGCCATTTTGTTTTAACGAAATAAAGGCATTCTTTTTTTTTTCCCCCCTCAACATTTTTTCCAACAATCTGCTAGGCGAATTACGCTTATACTAGAACTTTTATGGAACAAAAATGCTTAATCATGACGAAGATTAAGTGCAAAATCGCAAACTGCTTGCCGCGTTAAGAATTGCACATACACAGTATCCATGTGCACGTCGACCTATTTTCACTTCAAAAAACATCCCAGAATTGCACAAAACTAGCATTGCGCACACTCTTGACTTTATCTACATACACATCGACCTATTTTCACTTAAAAAGTCAAAGAAAATGACAAAATCCAATTTCTTCTGTTGTAAAAAGCGGGCAACAAATAAGTGGGCGATTCTGCACTTTAGTAGCGAGATTGTTTCTAAGTGCTTGTTAGCTAAAATCACGATCGGAATTTTCCGGAAAATGTCACATTACATGTTTCATCATCTCTCATTTCTCGGAGACAAAATAATCTGTGATTCAAACTGTGTACTTCTGAGATTATTGCTAAAGTCCTAGCTAGTAACCTTTATCACCTTACCAAAATGTCGCAAAACTACCCGTTACCATATTCTAAAGATTAGCTGAGCAATTTTATAAAAGTAAGCTTGAACTTTCGATTATGTCAAATAGAATTTCCGATATGTATTTACTAATATGTAAAGGATCTACAAAGCGAGAGTATGTTTAGAAGTCCATTAAACAAAAAGTGGAATTTCTGCAAAAAATGGATAAAGGCATATCCTTCGTTTCTCAAACCATTCCGAAATCTGTTTATCAATTTCACGCTGCTCTGCGCCCCGGGGGGGGGGAAATGCCGCGGCACACAATGAATTGGAAGTTAATCTGTCAGCACTATCCTTATCTTTAGGGCAGATGTTTTTATTTTATTTCGCTTATAATTCCTTAGTAAATGTAGTATTTCATCTCGATGTATTCCGTCTTTGATATGATTTAAATCAAATTCCTCGTCATTATAATTCGCTTCCGATAAAGAAGAAAGTGATACAGAGGTTATTGAAAATGAAAAAATTTCAATTGACAAATTAGTTGGTATTCTCGACACAGCATTATAGGACTTTAACAGCGGAACTTTGTACCGAAGAAAGAAATATGTCTGTGTTTATAGAATTAAAGAGAAGGTATTATCACATAAAACGAAGCATCTTAAACAACTTACATTGAAAGACATGTTTAATAAAGTAAACAAATAAATATTAAGCTTTTTTTTTTTTTTTTTTTTTTTTTTGTAAATGTGATACCTTTAGATCATAATTGTTCTTTATTTCATAAATTACGGTTTCATATTTTTAATTTTATAATTTCTGCATGCCATCTTATCAGATTTAAACTGATGATCTATAAGCTGGAAAAATCGATAATCCGGAATTGCCGAAGTCCTGACGA